TTGCTGGGGGAAGAGGGGAATGACTTTGTGGCATGGCCTGGAAGACAGACAAGCAGGCAGGCAGACAGAGGCAAGATAAGATGGAAAGTGGTCAGAGGATACCCCACCTCACCCCTCCAGGCTCCCCAGCCTCTCACCCAGCAGGATGCGACCCCCATGGAGGTCCCCATCTCCCTCGAGATTCTCAGGTTCATCCCCAATGAGTGGTGTGGCTCCCACCGGGGTGTCAGCCCCCTCATCGCCCACGGTGACTGTGACAGAGGCTGGGGATGAGGGGCCAGCAGGCTCCAGGGAGTCAGGGCTGGCCTTGGGCAGGGTCTCTTCACTACGAGGGGTGTCCCCCAAAGAACCATGAACTGTAAGGGAAAATAAAAAGTTTAGGGCTAAGGTCTCAGGGAATCCTGTGTTGGGGGAGGTGAAGGTCCAACTGGGCCCGTTTCTACTGCACTCACCTCTCTCCGTGGCTCCTCTAGGCTCCTTCTCCAGCACCAGCGCCCCCATCTCAGCAGGGGCCTCCCCCTGGCAGGGGACACAAGGTATAGGAGGGCTGGTCAGCCCAGTAGGAAGTTGGGGAGCCCAGGACGCCTGGGCTCTGGGAAGAGAGAGTAGGCTCCGGGGCCTACCTCTTCCTCTATGGGGGCCCCCCCTTCCGCGGCCTCGGCTGCCCGGGGGGGCCGCACGACCCCTCCCCCGGGCCCGCATTAACCCCCTCCCTCTCGGCAGACCCCGCATCTCAGGGGCCGAGAAGAGAGGAGGGGGAGGGGGCGGGGCCTCTGCGCCCCGGCCCCGCCCCCTCCTCCCGGCTGCACGCGCCGCTCCCCCTTTGTCCCCCAGGCCGCGGGGACCCCGGGCACCAACCCCTCCAGCGCCCGCTGCCCCCCAGCCCGGTGGACGGCCCCTCGTGCCCCTCGCGCGTGCTCCTGGGGCCCCGGCGCCCGCCGCCCACTCGGGGGCAGCCGGCGGCTGCACGCGCGCCTCCGTGCCCACTCCCCCCACCTCCCACCCCCTGGTCCCCTCATCCGCCCCCGGTGCTGGCCCTCCGGATTGCTGCAGGTCCCGTCCGGGCCCCCCGGCCCCGTTGCACCCCCGGAGCATTGCACGGGCGCGCGCTTCCCCCGGGCGCGCGCGCGGGCATGCACCCGCCTCTCCCCCTCCCCTTCCGCACCTCGGCGGCCGTCGCCGCTGCAGCTCCCGCCGCCGCCGCCATCGCCGCTTGCGCGGGGGGCCGAGCCGGCGCGCGGCCGCCCCGGGTCACGTGGGCGGGGGAGGGAGGGCTAGGAGGAGCCTTAAAGGAGCCACTACGCGCTTTCTGGCCATTTTCCCCCCGAGAGCCGCTTCGGAAATGGCAGTGGCTGTCCTAAGCCGGGGGCTGCAGGGGAGAATTCCTGCCAATCCTGGCGTCAGCTCAGCGGGGAGCCGAAGGTGAGGCACGCCTGGGTCCAGGTGTGGCTTCTCCATCCCCCGCCTGTTTTTAGGTAACGAAAGAAGTGTCTGACCCTCACGGCTCTTGGCAGCGGCTGTCTTTCCAATCTGGCCCGCCTAGGCTTCTCCCGCCTCTGGGTGCTTTCTGGTTTCTGGGTCGCCAGATAGAAGACTCGGGCTCCGTTTTGGCCTCGCTTCTCTAACGAGCAGGAAGGGGACAGTGGGAACGCGCGGAGGACACCTTTGCTCGACTGCTTTTACCTTGCTGCTTCATGTCTCCTGGAGCAGCGTCCCCTTTTGAAAACCTGGGGCTAAATGTCTCTTCTGTTTATGCCAGACCTGTTACGCCACCATGTGCACTAGGGATCCAAGTAAGCCCCCAGAGGCCCAAGAGTTATTACTGCCTGGTGACACTACTAAGTAACCTTTTTTTTTTTTTTTTGCCAAACACCTCCCAAGCATAGTCAGGCACTACGCGGGTCATAAGCCCAGCTAACAGTGGAATTATGAATATTACACCAAGATATACAACCTTGATAGCATTATTTAGGGTACCATCCCTTTACGGATTACATTCTGGTCAAAGTTCAGAAAAAACCCTGTTACGATTTCACACGCAGTATTTGATAGAAGCCCGTGGTTGGGCTATGGGGCACCTGAGGCCAATTCAAGGCCTTCTGGGAACTGTAGTTCTCTTTGGTTAAGAACTATTCCAGAGCTTTGTGGGACTTGTAGTCTTCTCCATAACCCTGATCCAAGCATAGTGGGTTTTTTTTAGCTTTTCAGAGGACATGTACCCTTTCGTCAGAACATAAATGCCCAAACATAGGTTCCTGCTTACAATTTTGGTGGGCATAATGATCACCTTTATAGCTCATCCCTAGGGCTGATACTAAACTCTTGTAATAGAAGGGGAAGTTGTGTGTTATCACCATGGCCAATCATAGAACATAAGCGTGAGATACCTGTTAGAGGTGCTGAGGTTGCAGAACTGGGAGGGTCTCCAGCCAGAGAAGCCCACTTGTCACAATCCCCTGCTCTTGTCAAGTCTTCTTCAGGCATGGGACCTGCATGAGCTTTGCGGAGTATTGAGCAAATGCAATAAGGAGGGAGACGCTGTCTAGGGTGGGATAGTCATATACACGCAGTTGCCAGACAGAGTATAAAGAAAAAAAGTGTTTGGCTTTTTTTTTTTTTATTTATTTTGTGGAAAACAAAAGCAGAAAAACTAAAACCCCAAACTCCAGAAAAAATCCTAAAAAATACGTTTTTTTCTTAAAAAATACTGTATGTCTCTACTCCTCTCCCTCCCCTCCCAACAGCCCTCCTTGTATCCTTTCATCTAAGTGCCCTACCCCCACCCCCACCACTATTCATCCTTCTTGCTATTGTCCCCCACTTTTCCATATCTACCCAGGATGCTCACCCCCAAGTTCTCTTACCTGGCACCTGACATGGTTCTCCCTAGAGTTTCGGTGAGCCTTTTCCCACAGTCCCATTCCCCCAGCATGCAAGAACTGTCTCCCCACTTCCTTTTCTGGGATTCAATAATCCTTTCCCCCTACCACTCCCTCTCCCAAGGATCTATTCTATGCAGGAGCATGTAAGCTGCCTCCTGCCAAATTCCCTCCCAATTCCCACCCACCCACCCCCCATCTCAAGAAATATCAGAACCTCTCCCTGGGCAGCCTTAACCAGGAATAAAGCATTTTCCTCTTTTTTTCTTCTCAATCTATAAGACCCTTTCCCTCCCTCCACATATCCATGCACCTCTAAGAGAAGAAAATTTTTCTCTGGGAGGCCATATCCCCTTGGCCTTCTCAAAGAACCCTCTCCCTCTCTTTTTTTCTTCTGAAAAGACAGGGGTCTTCTCTCCAGGGAATCTTCAGCCCCTCCCTCAGGATGTGTCTGCTCAGGTTCCCCCACCGTACCTGCCTGATCCCGACCCTCCCACCCCCCCATTCTCCTGGGCCAGGGAGCTCCCTTCCCACTCAGCCCAGGGACCCCTGCCTCCTGGCCTCCGAGCCTGCCCCGCTAGCGGATGAGGACGTTGATCTCGGCCACGCTGGCCTCCAGCACGTTCTCTGCCGTTGTCTTGCCATGCTGCTCCTTGAGGTGCCGCCTAATGGCGGGCTTGTGAGCGAAGCGCACGTCGCAGTAGGAGCAGCGATAGGGCCTCGCTCCGGAGTGGAGGTTGAGGTGGTCGTGCAGCGTGGACTTCTGCGTGAAACACTTGCCGCAGATGCCACAGGAGTGCGACTTGACGCCGCGGTGCACGTTCATGTGGCGGTTGAGGTTGCTGCTGTGGTTGAACTGCTTGCCGCAGCGTGGGCACATGAAGATGAAGTGCTGCGCCCGCATGTGGAAGACCAGCTTCTCCACGCCCTGGAACACTTCCGGGCACTTGGTGCACTTGATGTTCTTTAGGGGGTTTCCACTGGAAAAGCCCCCAGGCAGGGGTCCCCTGCTGCCCCCTGCCCCCAGGCTGCCCCCCGCCCCCCGGGCAGCCATGGCCACCGCTGCTGCCTCCACCAGGCCCGAGGTGGCCCCCACGCTGGCCCGGCCTCCAGGGATCAACAGCAAACCCTCCCCTTCTGCGTCCTCGGACAGGCTATAGCAGGCTTTCACTACACCCTGCGGTGGGGCCACAGTGCTGGGGGGCACGCTGCTCTGAGCCAGCTCTCCCAGGTGGCCGCCCACGGAGCCTCCGATGCTCAGACCCCCTCCCAAACCTCCGGGAGGTTTGAGCCGGTGTGCCACCTCCAGGGCCGACTCCACCTTGACGATGCAGATGTCAGACACGTCCTCGTCCTCGTCCTCATCTTCTTCCTCGGCCTTCAGCTCCAGGTCCTCATCCAGGGGGAACTCCAGTTTCACAGGCCGTAGGAGTGGAGGGGGTAGAGGAGGTGGGGGTGGGGGCTTGGGGGCTGGTTTTGGGGTCCTGGCAGGAGGGAGGAGGGATTTGGTGGCACTGACACTGCTCACAAGGCTGGCATCGCTGATCCCGTCCTCTTTGAGGCCTATTTTGGGCTCAATGAACTGGCTGAGGGCGTTCCTGCATTTCTCCACCACGTGCTCCATCTGCAGGTAGGAGGCAGCCGTCAGGTAGTTGACGATGTCCCTGACAGCGAATTCCAGAGCGCCCGTGTAGCAGGAGAGGAGCAGGTCGGCCACGATGCGCGCACTGTGCATCAGGGAGACCTGCAGCTCAGAACTGGGGTTCAGCAGGAACTGGTCCCTCAGGAAAGGCGAGCAGGCGGCCAGGATGACCTTGTGGCCACGGAACTTGAGGCTGTCGGCCACAATGGTCACGTCACAAAACCGCTCCTCTGCGCGGAGCTGGTTCATGTTCCGCAGGGTAGCGGCCTCGTGGCCGGGCAGCTGGAAGCGCAGGACTTCCACCCCAGAGGCCATTGTGGCGGGGGTGGGCAACCCTGGTTGGGAAGGAAACCGGTCAGAGACAAAGGTCTCTGGCTCTCCTAAGCCAAGGCTCCAGGCCCCTCGCCCCCATTTTTGCCCAGCCTCCCAGCTTCAGATCTCCCAGTCTTCAGGCCTCTTCCTCAGTTTCCCCAGTCCCTGGGGAAGCGCTGTCCCTCCGAGAGGACGGAGGCGTGGTTCCCGGGGGCGGGGCAGCGGCGTCCACACCCCCAGCCCGACCGCCCGCGAGGACCGGGCGAGCCCGCGCGCCCACGGGGAAGGTAGGAGAAACCGGGAGCAGAGGCCTGGGGCTCTGGGCTCCCGGGTGGCCCGGGTTGCAGCCTCTTCTCACCCCGCCCCCTTTCCCCGCTGCTTCATTCCTCCGCCCCCCCTTGCACGTTTGCACGCGCTTTTCACGTCCTCCCCCGGCCGCCTGCACGCTTCGTGCACGCCCCCCCCACGTTCAGAGCTCCGTGGCACGCCCCCCCAACCCCACGACCCTGAGTGCACGCGCCTCTCACCTGGCCCGGTTCCGCGCGCTGTTTTTTCCCCCCCTATTTCCCCCACCCCCCCCCGGGGTTGGCAGCGCCCCCAAACACGGGCAGGGCCTGGGCAGCGCGCAGGCGCGGGGGTGCACGAGGCGCGCGCGCGGGGCCAGCTCCGCGTGGGCGTAAGGAGGGAGGGGCGGGGGCGGCTCGTGCAGTGTGTTCCAGGCCCCGCGCGCCTCAGCGTCGGCGAGAACTCGGGTTGGAGGAAGAGGGGAGGGAATTAAAGGAGCAGGATTCCCCCTTTCCCGACCCCCCTTTCTTCAGCAGCCCCCCCACACGGTTAAAGGGCCGGATGGCCTGGCCTCCCCTTTGGCCGGTATTATTTGTCCGCCAGAGCGGAAATACGTTCCACACCCCCCTTTCTCGCTCCCCCTCCTCTGTGCCTCCGGGCCCCGCGGCCTGTCTGCGCGTGCGTGCCAAGTGCCGCGCGGAGGCCCGCTTGCTCGGGCCCGCCCCCCGTTCCCGGCGGCCCGCGGCGCCCTCCGCTCCGCGCCCCCCGGCGCGCGCCCCCGCCTGCGCTCTCCGGCTGCGGTGCTCCCCGCCTGGCCCGCTCCCGCCGACGGTGCTGCCACCTGCTCACAGGGGTGGTGCCGCTGCGGCCCAGCTGTGCTGTGCGGGACAGGGCTGCAGTCGCAGCCCCTCCCAGGGACCCAGACCGCCCCACGGCTATCGGAGCTGTTGGTCGCTGTTGCCCACGCGGTGCATCCTCTGTTGCGTATGCTCACAGCCCCTCTGTCCACACTTCGAGACTCTTTCAACTCTTCGGAAGCTAGTGACCACCCCAGACCTCCTGGCCTAAACGAAGTTTTGACTTCCTAAAGAAACAATCCAGTACCCTCCACTTTTCTCTGTCTCACGATAGTGTAACATCACACCCATCCGACCTTCTTCTCCATTCTTAGAATTGATCCTACTTCTTGGCAAGGCAAACGTCCTCCGCTTGTGTGTACTGTCGATGACCTTGCCCATTTCACCCCTACTGTATAATTAGCCCTAGTACTAATTCTTCTAATTGTGCGATTATTTGTATCAGTACGATTTTACCATCTTTAATCTTTCCTACTGCCGCTGTCCTTCCGATGGCGGGGCTGGCAAGGTCAGAGCTCCATCGCCCTAAACAAAACCTCTCCTCAACTCTGCACCTCTGCCTTCTCTTTCTCTCTCACTCCCAACTAACCTGCGGTCTCCACAGCTTCGCCAACAGCATTTATTAGCACCTTGGAGATTGCCCTGCCCCCTTTCCTGCACAGTCACTTCCCTACCCATCCAAGTCCAGGTGAAAAAGCCCCTGTTTCCCATTAGTTGGATTGGTTGGTTACATACTCCAGGAGACTAGAGCATTTCTCATACACATCAATTTTGAGGAAACTGCTTGTTATATAATGGGTTCAATATCTGGTTTCCCCCATTAGATTGTAAACTTCTTGATTGCAGGAATTATGTTATGGGTTATATTTTGCAAACAAAAGGCATGCAATAAATGACTGGCTGCTGAAGTCATTCCTTTTCAGCTCAGCCAGCATCCACCCAGAAAAAGTTTGTTTCTGACTTAAGCTGAATTCCTGAACTCAAAGGGATGACCTTTGGTGGGAGAGTGGGGGCAGTATTTAGTGGTGCTTGACTCTTGCCTTTCCCTTTTAAATTCTTGCCTTTTATGCCTCCATCCAGTTCTCTTTATTCTAAAATGCCCTCTTTGTAGAAATCTCCTTTGTAGTCAGGCCATATAAATCTGAGAAAGAACTTTGGCTTTTGTGTCAGACACACCTAGGCTCAAAGCCATATTCCACTACCTTTTTTTTTTTTTTTTAAGATTTATTTATTTAGTGTAGAGGAGGGAGGGGCAGGGAGAGGGGGTGGAGAGAGAGAATTTCAAGCAGATTCCCTGCTGAGCGTGAAGCCCTACCCCGGGCTCCATCCCAGGACCCTGAGATCATGACCTGAGCTGAAATCAAGGGTTGGACATTCAACCAACTGAGCCACCCAGGTGCCCCCATATTCCATTAGTTTTTTAGAAGACCCTTGGGCAAGTTACTTAATTTTCTGAATCACAGCAGCTTTGTCTTTGAATTGGAGACCCTGATTTTTCACAGGGCTAATGTGAGGTGTAAGGGAGCCTGGCAAACAGTAGGTGCTAGAAGAGATAGCTCTCTTCCCCTTTGCCTAATTGGGAGACAGACTACAAAATCTTCAAAAGAACTTTAGCTGGATATTCTGTTTCCCTGTCTCATCTCTTCTCTCCCTCATTGCCAAACTTCTCAAAAGAAAGTTCACACTCCAGTGAAATCAGAAATACAAAGGCTGTCAAAGTAAGAACTGAAGTTTGTAAAGTTTTGTATCCTGTCACCTTCTTGCTACTTCTCCTTTCTAGGGGAGTGTGAATGGGACGAGGGGCCTCAGCTTGGAATTTAAGACAGGTTCTTGGGTGGCAGATAGAGCTGAGAGCTGATGAGTCCTTCAAGTGCCAACTGCCCCCCCCCCCCCCCGTTACAGTTTTCTATGGAAACAAACCGTAGTGCACAAGGCTGTCTTCTCCTGTGCAGCCTGGTGGGGAGATGCTGTAGGGGCTATTTTACCACATAGCCCGTGTAGGGGGATCTAGATCCTTGTCCCTTGGTCACAGACTTCTGCTAGTGTGAGATGAGGGACCCTCCTGTCCCTGGCTTGCAGTACTAAACTCCCTGGCATAGTGTCAAGGATGGGTAAATTCAGGATTCTTAGTGGGCATGAGAAATAAAGTCTGACTAGGGAGCAAGAAACAAGTAGGAGACAGAAGGTCTAGGCTCTGTTCAGGTTGGAGGCCATCAAGATCCCAGAGGTTTCAGTATTCTCTTCAAAAAATGGAGGGGGGCGCCTGGGTGGCTCAGTTGGTTAAGCGTCTGCCTTTGGCTCAGGTCATGATCCCTGGAGCCTGCATCGGGCTCCTTGCTCAGCCTGGAGTCTGCTTCTCCCTCTCTCTCTGGCCCCTGTTCGTGCCCGTCCCCCAAATGAATGAATAAAATCTTAAAAAAAAAAAAAAAAAAAAGGAGGGGTTGTCCTATGAAGTCTCTTTCAGCGCTATGAGTCTTTAAAAGCTCAATCTGAAAAGAGGCGTGTGTATTTTTGTGTCTATGTCTGGGAGAAGTGGTGGAGGACTAGCCTGCTCATGGCTTAGAGAACCACTCCTGGTTATGGATGGAGGCTAGCGGTGGTCTAGATAATCCCAAACAGGAAGGGTTACACATTTCTCTGCGGCGTTCAAGGTAGTTTTGGCAGTGAGTGTACTTTTGCCATATGCTTAGCCTAGACTGGAATAGGTATATTCCTTGAGCTACTAATAGGAAATATTGGACTTAAATCCATAGGCTGATAAAACTTTTCCTGTATTACAATAAAACCTCCAACATCTCTTCCTCTCTTTGACCCACACTCAGCTCTACCCTCACTGTAAGAACCCTGAGTCCTGCTCTGCTGCTCCCTCGGTCTCCTTGTTGCCTGAGCAACTGACTTCCAGGCCTGTGGCACCTGGCTCAGGTCATCCTCTCAGACCCGCCAGTGTCCATGCAGATGACCTAATCCACACCCCAATTAAAAAATAAATTGTCCGGTTTATTTTAAGTTTTCTTAGAGTCATTTGCATGGTTCAACGTTCAAAAAGTATATTTTATTTTATTTTTTTTTAAAGATTTTATTTATTTGAGAGAGAGAATGAGAGAGAGAGAGCACATGAGGGGGGGAGGGTCAAAGGGAGAAGCAGACTCCCCAGTGAGCAGGGCACCCGATGTGGGACTCGATCCCGGGACTCCAGGATCATGACCAGAGCCGAAGGCAACCACTTGACCAGCTGAGCCACGCAGGCGCTCTCAAAAAGCATATTTTACTGAACAGAAAGAGAATCAATACCAGATGGGGATTACTTGCTTGCTTATCAAGAGAATACGTTTGATATTCATTTGGGAGAACATTTTTACCCTGGTGGGGAATAAGGACTCATAAGCACGTGATAAAAAAATCTATCACCTTGGGAATTCTGGCCAATGAAATTGCTCAAGCAAAATAGCTCAACAAAAATCATTAGACTCCTTGGCCTGGGTAGTTCTGGACAATAGAATGGCCTTAGATTGTATTTTGGCAGGACAGGGAGGGATATGCAAGGTAATTAACTCTTCCTGCTGCATTTGCATTAATTCCTCAGCTGAAATAGAAACCCACCTAGACAAGATTAGAGAACAAGCCACTTGGCTGCAACAAATTGCTGCTGAAATCCCAGGAACAGAATGGGATTGGTTTTCTGGTCTGTTTTCCTGGATTGCTCAAGGAATTTGATCAATACTCTGGGCATTAACCCAAGTGGGATTATCTATCTTGGCTGTGCTTTTTATGATTTATCTACTCATAAATGTGGCATGAGTTGCTGCTTAAAAGCAGCAAAAGCAGGAATTAACTTAGTGGTTGTCCAAAGCTTTGAAGTTAGGCCAGGCCAGAGGACTTACAGTCAGGAGCAAACCAGTTTCATTCCTCCAATCGTGATCTTTGCCCCTCTTCAACAGGAACTAGCTAGAGTTCCTATCCCTCAAGACTGAGGACTGACTAAAGACAAGGATGGGGGGCACTGAGACTGGGGTTGCAAGCTCCCACAGACCCCACAGTTTAGACATAGCTGCCTCTGACCAGCCACGTAGCCCGTAGTTACTGTTAAAGAAACCTGTAAGATTGCCTCAGGAAATCACATTCTGTTGCCTCTGAAAAGTCTGTGGGATGCTGTTCTGCCTGAGATGATAAACATCATGTGCCACGTTTGCAAGAAAAGAAATAATAGTTTGCAGCTTAGTAATAGTCACAGGATATAAAACTTCTGCCTTTGTACTCTAGAGGTGACATCACTAAACATAATCTGCCGAGAACGTTTTGCAGTTCCAGGCCCCTAAAGAGGAACAACCAGGCCCCTGCTGCAGAACGACCGCCTCACTACAAATCGCACCAGAACCAGACAAGGAGATGCCAAACGGAAGAAGATGATCAAGAAAGGAAATATTATAGTCGACCTAATCGCCAATCAATCAGCATGATCCAAGACCCTTACCCTGAATTTTCACCCTTTATTTTATTATTTTATTTTTTTGTTTTTAAGATTTTATTTATTTGACACAGAGAGAGTGTGAGCTGGGGAGGAGCAAGGGGAGGGGGAGAAGCAGGCTTTCGCTGAACAGGGAGCCCGATGTGGGGCTCCATCGCAGGACCCTAGGATCATGACCTGAGCTGAAGGCAGATGCTTAACTGACTGAGCCACGCAGGCGCCCTTATTTTATTTTATTTTTTAAAAGATTTTATTTATTTATTTGAGAGAGAGAGAGAGTACGAGCTGGGGTCAGAGGGGCAGAGGGAGAGGGAGAAGCGGGCTCCCCACTGAGCAGGAAGCCCAACTCCGGGTTGATCCCAGGACCCCTGATCATGACCCAAGCCAAAGGCAGCCGCTTAACCAACTGAGACACCAAGGAAGGCACCCCTGAATTTTCATACTTTAAAAACCCCTGCTTGGAAGCCAATGGGGAGCTTAGGCCTCTGAGCATTAGCTCTCCGTTCCCCTGGGTGATGCCACACCAATAAATAGCCTATTTTTCTTCGCTCCCAAAACAAACAAAACCAAAACCCAAAAGTAACGAAAACAAAACCCTGAAAAACAACCAACTAAAAAAATAAAACAAAAATCAACACCCCCAAACCCACAAAATTCAGAAAGTGTAAAAGGGTACGTACTGAAAGGCCTCCTGCTACCTCCCCACCCAGTTCCCCTGCCCTCCCGCCACCAATATTATTTGTTTCTTCAAAGTTGTTTGACCTTCCGACAACTTTTATCTTCATTCCATTTCATCCACTTTCTTGTCAGGCTCGCCCTCTGGTGATTGACAGCATCTGGAACTTCCTCCTTTCTGAAATTTGGAATGCCAGCGCACCATTCTCTGAGTAGCCCTCGGATCTCTCCCTCCTGGGGGACAGTGAGTATACCTGCCCCACTCTCCAGGGAGACCTCCAGGCATCTCGTCTTCCCTTTCTCCCTGTCCAGCCAAGAGAGCACTCACATGCAGCACTCAGCTGCTATGACCTAGCAGCACCCTTTAGTTGGGTTCTTGGTGCCCCTTGGTGCACTTGGAAGAGCCCCTCTGCCCCCCATTCCTGAGCCGCCACCCCTCTCCCTATCCCCTTCTCCCAGCAGACTGAAGTGCCCTCCTTCACGCTCCAAACATCTCTTTCTTTGCTCATCCTTATTTCCCTTTCCTTAATTTCAGAGCCTGTTGAAAGCCCATCCATCCTTCCTACATCCCATTCTTTTTTTTTTTTTTTAAAGATTTTATTTATTTATTTGTCAGAGTGAGAGAGCACAAATGGGGGAGTGGCAGGCAGAGGTAGAAGCAGGCTCTCTGCTGAGCAGGGAGCCCAATGCGGGGCTCGATCCCAGGACCACGGGATCAGGACCTGAGCTGAAGGCAGACACTTAACTGACTGAGCCACCCAGGCGTCCCCCTACATCCCATTCTTAACCTTGCTTTGTTTCTTGCTCTCCTGGGCTTTATACTCGCCCCTTTATTTTTAAATCCAGACAAGACTTTGCTTCCTTAAAAGAAAAAATCCTTCTTCAGCCTGGTCCCTCTCGGCTGCCACCACATCTTACCTTATCCTTCTCAGCACAGCCAGCATTCCAACTGTCCCCCACGCCTTCGTGCTCATCCTCTCTCCTAAGAATATATATTGTGAATACATTATATACATAGAAGAACGTATAAAATGAGCATGTAGAGTTAAAGACAAACGAAAACAAGGGGCACCTGGGTGGCTCAGTCGGTTAAGCATCTGCCTTTGGCTCAGGTCATGATATCAGGGTCTTGGGATCGAGCCCCACATCAGGCTCCCTGCTCAGCAGGAACCTGCTTCTCCCTTTCCCTCTGTTGCTCCCCCTGCTTGTGCGCTCTCTCTCAAGTAAATAAATAAAATCTTAAAAAAAAAAAAAAAAAAGACAGATGAAACAGAATACCTGGGCACCTGACCACAGCTTAAGAAATAAATTCCCAGGACCTTAGATGTCCTGTGGGCTCCACACTGACTGCATCCCTCTCCCCTCCTGCAGGGTGACCTCTACCCTGAATTTCTTAAGTATATGTCCATTTCTTGTCTTCATAATTTCACTATCTATGCATGTTGTAGGTATTCCTAAATAGCATTCCTAAATAAAAAATAGCATTTTTATTCCTAAAAAAAAAATTTAGCTTTGTGTGTTCGATCTTCACATAGATGGAATCATATGTTACGTATTTTTTTCTGGAGCAGGCTTTTTAACTCATTCTGATTTTGTTGGGTTGTATAGTTGTAATTCATTCACTTCCTTTCTATTGCATGCTTACACCACAATTAATTAATCCATTGTCCTGCTGATGGACATTTGCGTTGTTTAAAGATTCTTTTATTTGAGAGAGAGAGAGCAAGAGCAAGCAGCAGGAGGGGCAGAGGGAGAGGGAGAGAGAATCTCCAGCGGACTCCCTGTTGAGCATGGAGCCTGATATGGGGCTGGATCTCACAATCCTGAGATGACCTGAGCTGAAATTGAGTCGGACACTCAACCGACTGAGCCACCCAGGCGCCCCACATTTGCGTTGTTTAAACTGGTCGTTATCACAACAATGCTGCTGTGAGCCCTCTTTTACTCTTCTCTGAGTGGGACATGTAAGCTTCTCCAGGGCAGCAGGCTTCAAACTAGGGACCTATATCCCTGTGGTGCAAGAGGACTGTCCAAGTAGGTGGACCTGGATAGATGTGAGGGAACCCTTTTCAGATCTGACTCTCCCAAAAGGCATAGGGTCCTGAGGAGACCCCTGTGAAGGAGAAACACTTGCCCCATTCCCTTGCCCAGCCCTCCCTTACCACAGAAACTAGGCCCCAGGGGCATTCAAGAGGGTCAAAACACCAGGGCACCAAAGGGACAGTTCCAGAATCTGTGTTGGTTCTGAGAAAGTGAGTGACCTAGCGACATCATTCTGCAAGTCAGCTACTTTCTCTGTCCTTTCAACAAAGTTGAGTGTTAGCTGATTTATTTATTGTTTTATCCTTTTTATTATTGAGGTGAAATAGATATAACATAAAATTAACCATTTTGAAGTGAACAATTTAGTGGCATTTAATGCATTCACAACGTTGTGCAACCGCCACCTCTATCCACCTCTATCTCGTTCGAAAACATTTTCATCACCCCAGAAGAAACCTGTACCTGCTAAACAGTTGCTCCCTTCCTCCCTCCAGCTCTCAGCAATCCCCAGTATGTGTCCTGTTTCTCTGGAACTATCTATTCTGCTGGATATCTTGTGTAAATGGAATCATGCACTATGTGGCCCCAGGTGTGGCTTCTTTCACATAGCGTAATGCATGTCTATGCATGCTGTAACGTGGATTGGTACTCCCTCCCTTTTTATGGCCGACTGATATTCCAGTGTATGGATATACCACAACTGGTTTGTTCATTCCTCCGTTGATGGATGTTTGGGCCATTGCCACCTTTTGGCGACTGTGACTAGTGCTGCTATGCACATGTATTTGTTGAGTACCTGTTTTTAGTTTTTTGGGGATATGTACCTAGGAGTTGGATTTCTGAGTAATTCTTTTTTTTTTTTTTAAAGATTTTATTTATTTATTTGACAGAGAGAGACACAGAGAGAGAGGGAACACAAGCAGGGGGAGTGGGAGAGGGAGAAGCAGGCTTCCCGTGGAGCAGGGAGCCCGATGCGGGGCTCGATCCCAGGACCCTGGGATCATGACCTGAGCCGAAGACAGAGGCTTAACCGACTGAGCCACCCAGGTGCCCCAGATTTCTGAGTAATTCTATATTTAACTTTGGAGGAACCACCAGTTTTCCAAGGCCACTGAGCCATTCTGTATTCCCACCAGCACATTGTATGAGGATCCCAATTTCTCCACATCCCAGCTATCACTTATTTTCCATATATATGTATTTTAAGCCATCCCAGTGGGTATGAAATGGTAGCTCATTTTGGTTTTGATTTGCATTTCCCTAATGACTCACAATGTTGAGTACCTTTTCAGGTGGTTGTTGGTGTCACTTATATATCTTCTCTGAGAAATATCAATTCAAGTCCTTTGACCATTTTTAAATTTAATTGTTTGCCTCTTTGTTGTTGAATTGTAAGTGTTCTTTATATATAGTGGATACTAGATTCTTATAAGATACACGATTTACAAATATTTTCTCCCATTCTGTAGGTTGTCTTTTTTACTTTCTTGATGAAATGTCTTTAAATTGGGGCACCTGGCTGGCTCAGTCAGCAGAGTGTGCAACTCTTAATGAGTTCAAGTTGCATGTTGGGTATAGAGCTTACTAAAAAAAAAAAAAAAAAAGTAATAAAGTGCTTAGAAGTACAAATATTTTATTTTATTTTTTTAAGATTTTATTTATTTAATTGACAGAGAGAGACACAGCGAGAGAGGGAACACAAGCAGAGGCAGAGGAAGAGGGAGAAGCAGACTCCCCACTGAGTAGGGAGCCCGATGTGGGGCTCGATCCCAGGACACTGGGATCATGACCTGAGCCGAAGGCAGACGCTTAATGACTGAGCCACCCAGGCGCCCCTAGAAGTACAAATATTTTAAATTTTGGTGATGTCCAACTGTTTTTCCTTTTGTTGCTTGTGCTTTTGGTGTCCATATCTAAGAAACAATCACCTAGGGGTGCCTGGCAGTCTCAATCAGAAGAGTGTGCAACTCTTGACCTCAGGGTCATGAGTTCAAGCTCCACATTGTGTGTAGATTACTAAAGAAAATAAATAAACTTTAAAAAAAATCACCAAATCAGGGGCGCCTGGGTGGCTCAGTTGGTTAAGTGACTGCCTTCAGCTCAGGTCATGATCCTGGAGTCCCGGGATTGAGTTCCGCATCGGGCTCCCTGCTCGGCGGGGAGTCTGCTTCTCCCTCTGACCCTCCTCCCTCTCATGCTCTCTGTCTCTCATTCTCTCTCTCTCAAATAAATAAATAAAATCTAAAAAAAAAAAAAAATCGCCAAATCCAAGGTTGTGAACTTCTAACCGTTCTTAAACTCTTGTATTTAGGTTGTTGAACCATTTTGAGTTAATTTTTGTATACAATGTGAGATAGGGGTTCGACGTCATTCTTTTGCATGTGGATATCCAGTTTTCTAGCACCATTTGTTGAAGAGACCAGCTGATTGATTTTTGATGATAAGTCACTGTGTTTTGGTATATAACTTCGTATGATTTCAAAGAACTTAGTGACATTGCTATGACAAAACTCCTTCCATTTACATCTACATATTTATGTGAACAAAATTTTCAGTTCTTAAATCTATAAAAATGAGAACTAGGGGGACGCCTGGGTGGCTCAGTCGGATGGGCATCTGCCTTTGACTTGAGTCATGATCCCAGGGTCCTGGGATCAGGTCCTGTGTCAGGTTCCTTGCTTGGCGGGGAGCCTGCTTCTCCCTTTGCCTGCCACTCCCCTTGCTTGTGCTCTCTCTCTCTGACAATAAATAAATAAAATCTCAAAAAAAAAGAAAACTAGGAATAGAATTCATGCTGAATCCTGTCTAATTCTAGCAATAAGTAATGTTCATTCATGTAGTTCATAAATACATGAACTAATTGAAAAGAAAGTGGCCGAACCATCTTGTTTAGAATTGTACTTCTTTTTAAAAAAAATATTATGTATTACTAACTTATTTTTTAAATTAATTAATTAATTAATTAGAGTAAGCTTTACACCCAATGTGGGACAAATCATGACCCCAAGATCAAGAGTTGCATGCTTTACTGACTGAGCCAGCAAGGTGCCCCTAGAATTGCACTTCTAATCTAATTTTATTTATTTATTTATTTAAAGATTTATTTATTTACTTTAGAAAGAGAGAGTGTGTGTCAGTGGGGGGAGGGGCAGAGGCAGAAGGAGAGCAAGAGAATCTCAAGCAGAATCCCCGCTGAGTGCGGAGCCCTACCCAGGGCTCCATCCCAGGACCCTGAAATCAAGAGCTGAAATCAAGAGTTGGACGTTTAACCAACTGAGCCACCCAGGTACCCCTCTAATTTTATTTTTTATGCTTAATCATTAGTTAGCAAAGTTTATCAAATATTCATGTTGTTTTGACAAATTAATTTTTAATGATAATCATAATAATTACTTAATCCAGAAGGAAAAGTTTGAAACTTAGAGCTGTAAGGCCACAGGAAATTTTAAATTTTCCTTTTTTTTTTTTTTTTTAAGTAGGTTCCATGCCCAGCGTGGAGCCCAACATGGGGCTCAAACTCATGACCCTGAGATCAAGACCTAAGCTGAGATCAAGAATCTGATGCTTAACCGACTGAGCCACCTGGGTGCTCCTAAAAATTCAAATTTTTAAAGAAATTTTATTTATTTTAAGTAAGCTCTACACCCAATATGGGGCTCAAACCCAAGCCTTGAGATCAAGACTTGTATGCTTTTCCCACTGAGCCAGCCAGGCACCCCTAAAAATCCATTTTTATCTATATACATATTTTCATTGCAGAGAATAGAAGACTTTCAAACATAAGCCATATTTAGTAAGATAATGTTTTGGTAGGTCAAAAGAGAAATATGAATTCAGAAGAAATGGCACATGTGAAATTTCTGATTGTTACAGAAGAGAGTGGTCAAGGGCTTTTTAATGAATCAGAGAGGGTAAAGGGTCAGTATTTACAACACACTGGAAATTGCATCTTCTTGCAATGACTTAAACATTTCAGGAAAATTTTAGATAGTAGCATAAAAATGTGCATGTACCTACATATGTATGTACCTACATAGTTTACAAACTTTTTTAAACACGAGCAACAAAGTTTAAAGATGAAATGCTTCTCACACTTTGTTGTGCCTGTGAATCATCTGGAGATTTGTTCAAATGCAGATTCTGAGTCTGAAGGTCTGGATGGCGCCTGAGGTTCTGCATTTCTACAAGCTCCCAGTGATGCCCGCGCTGCTGGTCTGTGGACCACGCTTTGAGTAGCAAGCATCGGTACACAGTAGGCCCCCCTTATCCGTGGGGGATACGTTCCGAGACCTTCAGTGGATGTCTGACACTACAGAGGTCCCGAGCCCCATAGATAACTATTTTTTCAACACATACATACCTATGATAAAGTTGAATTTATAAATTTGAATTTATAATTTATAAATTATAAATTTGAATTTATAATTTATAAATTTATAAAGTTGAATTTATAAACAGTAAGATTAACAAGAGTAACATAATACAACAGAACAATTATAACAATATACTGTAATGAAAGTGATATGAATGCAGTCTCTCTCTCAAATGTCTTATTGAACTGTACTCACTCTTCTTGTGAGGACGTTGGATGATAAAGCGCCTGCGTGAGAGATAAAGTGAGATGAATGACTGGCATTAGGCTCCTGTTGACTTGATCCACTTGATCTGTCGGAAGTAGGATCATCTACTTTCAGACCGAGGTTGACTGCGGGTAATAGCAGCTGTGGAAAGTGAAACTAGGGATAAGGGGGGTGGTGCTGCCTCAGATAAGGGGGTTACTGCTGCAGATAAGGGGGGGCTGCTGCGGATAAGGGGAGATGCTGCTGCGGAAAGGGGTTTCTGCCGCGGAAAAGGGGGGTACTGCTGTATTCCTACCAGTGGAACTGCTGGGCGATGGGATCTTCACATGTTCCACTCCCCTGCCTGATGCTGAAGTATCTTCTGAAGTAGTTGTACCAATTTACACTCCCCAGTAGTGGCCTCGCCGCCGCTTGTGAGGTCACCCCAGGCTTCCTGACTCCCAGTGCTCGCCTCACTTGAGCCTTCTGCAGCCGGGGGCGCATTTGACCATGCTTGTCTGGTACACCGCCTTCCCCTGGTTTCTGTGACACCTCTTTCTTCCGGCTTCCCTTTCTTCTACAACCTCAGGCTCCTCTGCAACCCCTTGCTCTCTTCCTTTGTCCACCTTTTAACTGTTGGTGTCCTTGGCTTTTATTCTCCTTGCTCTTCCTGGGCCATAGCTTGTGCACTTAAGAGGTGGATTACCACCTGGGAGACTCTGTGATGGTTAGTTTTATGTGTCAACTTGGGTTGGCTATAGTACCCAGTCCTTTAGTCAAACACTACTCTGGATGTTTCTGTGAAGGTGTTTTGTGGATATGATTAACATCTACACTCAGCTGACTCTAAGTAAAGGAGGTTTTCGTTGATAATGTGGGTGGGCCTCATCCAATCAGTTGAAGGCTCCAGGAGCAAAAATTGAAGTTTCCCAGAGAAACTCAAGACTATCACATAGAAATCTTGCTTCAGTTTCCAGCCTGCCAGCCTGCTCTACATACTCGAACTCAAGACCACAACATCAACTCTTCCCTGAGTTTCCAGCCTGCTGGCCTGCCCTGTGGATTTTGGACTTGGCAGCCCCCATAATTGCATGAGCCAATTCCTTAAAATAAATCTCTTTGTATGTATTTATTTTTAAAGATTTTATTTTTATTTATTTGAGAGAGAGCAAGAGTGAGAGTGAGAGAGAGTGAGCATGGCGGGGGTGGAGTGGGGAAGGGGAGAGGGAGAAGCAGACTTCCCACTGAGCAGGGAGCCTGATGCAGGGCTCGATCCCAGGACCCTGGGATCATGACCCATGCTGAAGGCAGATGCTTAGCCAACTGAGCCACCGAGGCACCCCAATCTCTTTGTATTTATGTTTCTGCTTTTCTGGAGAACCATGACTGATATAGATTCCCATGTTTCTGTCTCCCACCAGACCTGCCTCCCATTTCGGGTCTAGAATATCCATCTTCTCCTGAATGTTATAAAGGTACTTAAAACACAATATGTCCTGGATAGAATCTGTTCTCTTTCTCCCCAAACCTGTTTCTCCATATAGGTGCCACCATCCATCCCATCACCCAAGCTAAAAATTTGGGATTCGATACGGACTTCTCTTTGCCCTTCATCCCTCATATATACTTAGCCACCAAATCCCTTACCCATCCAATTAATAAATATATGAGTTCCTACAGTGTGCCAATGCTGAAAGTGCAGGTAGTTCAAGGGAGAGTAAGACCCATTTGCTGAGGGTGTGAAGAAACTGAAACCCTTGTTGATGGGAATACCAAATGGTACTGAAAACACCATGGTGGTTCCCCAAAAAATTAAAAATAGAATTACCATGTGATGCAGAAACTCCACTTCTGGGTATACATCCAAAAGAATTGAAAGCAGGGTCTCAAAGAGATATTTGTACACCCATATTCACAGCAACATTACTCACAGTAGCTAAAACATGAAAACAATCCAAATGCCCATCAACAGATGAATGGATGAGCAAAATGTGGACGCACATACAATAGAATATTACTCAGCCTTAAAAAGGATGGAAATTCTGACACATGCTACAACATGGATGAAACTTGAGGACCTTGTGCTAAGGGAAATAAGCCAGATGCAAAAGGACAAATACTGTATGATTCCTTTTATATGAGATACTTAGAGCAGTCAAAATCATGGAGACAGAAAGCAGAATGGTGTTTACCAGGGCTGGGGGAGTGGGGAACAAGGAGTTAGTGTTTAATGGGTATAGAGTTTCAGGTTTTTTTTTTTAAAGATTTATTTATTTGAGAGAGAGAGTGCAGGTGAGAGGGAGAGGGAGAGAGAACCTGAAGCAGACTCTGCCTTGAGCACAGAGCCTGACGTGGGGCTCAATCCGACAACCCTGAGATCATGACCTGAGCTGAAACCAAGAGTCAGACGTTTAACTGACTAAGCCACCCAGGCACCCCAGAACAATCATTTTATTTTATTTATTTATTTATTTGTTTGTTTGTTTATTTATTTATTTAAAAAGATTTTATTTATTTATTTGAGAGAGAGAGACTGAGAGAGAGAGCACATGAGAGGGGGGAGGGTTGGGAGGGTCAGAGGGAGAAGCAGACTCCCTGCCGAGCGGGGAGCCCGATGCGGGACTCAATCCCGGGACTCCAGGATCATGACCTGAGCCGAAGGCAGTCGCTTAACCAACTGAGCCACCCAGGCGCCCCGGAACAATCATTTTAATACAGAAAATTGTCCTGTCAAATATAACTCTTTTTTTTTTTAAAAGATTTTATTTATTTATCTGACAGAGAGAGACACAGCGAGAGGGAACACAAGCAGGGGGAGTGGGAGAGGGAGAAGCAGGCCTCCTGCGGAGCAGGGAGCCCGATGTGGGGCTCGATCCCAGGACCCTGAGATCATGACCTGAGCTGAAGGCAGACGCTTAACGACTGAGCCACCCAGGCGCCCCCAAATATAACTCTTGAAAAAGAAACCTATCTCTTTAAAAGCTAAATACCCATACCTATTTATTGGACACATTTTACTTTTCTTGTTGGTTTCCCAGGAAGCTAAAACCTCTCTAATATTTCACTGTCTTTTAAATTAAATAATAAAACGTTAATTTGTAGAAACAAAAACAAAAACAAAAAAATGAAAGAAAAAAACATTTCCTACCCTCAAGAAGACTACAGTTAATAACTACGTAGCCAGAGTATGCTGGGGTAAGCGCTGAGATGGGGGCAGCCTGGGTGTGATGAGAGCCCAGCAGAGAGCACAGAGGGGCCTCCGAGGTCTACCCCTCAACACTTGTCCTAGCTCTCCTTCCCCACTGCTCTGCTTCCGTGTAGCCAACCCCTGGTCTCTTACAGGGATTAGAAATGTCTCCTAACTGGTCTTCCAATTCACCTTCCATAGTTTCCAGAATAATATTTTTGAAATGCTGATGAAATCATATCACTTCCCTGCCTCAAATGCCATATAACTAATTGCCCTACAAGCCACCAACCTGGCTCCCGAGTAGGGCAGACTCTCCTGCCCAGTCTGTTTAGCCATGTGGCAATGCCTAACTTCAAGAGTGCTGAGAAATTCAGTTCCACCATGTGCCCGGAAGAAGGCAGAAAATAGGAAAACTGGCGAACGGCCTCCATGACTACCACAGCTTGGTGCAGTGCCTACCTGCTTTCATCTCTCTCTTCCACTGGACACCGCGGATCCCAAGCACGGCACAGGGTTCCTGCCCTTGAGCGGTTTGCTCCAGGAATGGGCAGAGACCAGTAAATCAATGGACTGTAATTCTCCATGTTCCTGTGACAGTCCAGGTTTGGCTGGCGTGTTGGCTGGGGAAAACCCATGAAAGAAGAGCAATGGATTATGGGAGAGGAGAGTGGGAAAGGGACAGTACCGAGGCTCCAGAAAAGGCCCAGGTTGGGATGATTTAGCACAAGGTGAGTCTGAGCTCCAAAGAACTGTCCCCTTCAGCCATAGCTGAAGTCAGAGGGGCAGAGAAGATACAGGGCACAGAAAGTGGCTGCTACAGGGGACCTAAGGTTTCCTAAATTACTGCTTTCTGGCAGTTGCTGTGCTAGGTGCTAATTTATGTACCTTACTCTTTTTAGTACAGCAACCTTATGAAGTAGGTTTTGTGATAACTTATAGAAAGATGGTAGCATGTCATCACAGCAAGCATAATGGGTGGCTCTGACGGGGTGGCTTTACCTTCATCTGGTCATTTTTCAAAAAGGTCTATCTCAGAAATGGGATTTTAAAAATGCAGATATGACTGGGCTCCAAAGGACTGACTCATGCCAATAACACTCATGAAAGTCTAATGTATAAAGGGCTCATTTATTAATTTCAATGGTAGGTGGGACTTGCAAGATGATTTGATACTTATGTTCCTCGAGCTTTTTTATTCATTTGATATTTTTGACAGAGCCTATTGTGTGGCAGGGTCTTTGTGTCTTGTCTAGTCTTTTTATTTGCTTGTTTGATCTTAGTCGTTTAATGATCAAAGGGGGTTAAAGTTTTTTATATTTTAACTTTTTTTTTTTTTTTTTTAAGATTCTATCCATTTATTTGTCAGGGAGAGAGAGGGAGAAGCAGACTTCCTACTGAGCAGGGAGCCCAACTTGGGGCTCGACACGGGGCTCGATTCCAGGACCCTGGGATCACGACCTGAGCTGAAGGCAGATGCTTAACCGACTGAGCCACCCAGGCACCCCAAAAATAAATTCTTTAAAAAAAGTCAATGAGTTGTACACTTAAGATTTATGCACTATATGTGTGTTATATCTCAATTAAAAAAAGATAATGCCAGTGGGTGTGTCAAAGGTGAAGTGTTACATGTTATTAAAAATAAATTTGACCATTTCATCTAGGTTTTCCAATTTGCTGGCATACAATTGCTCACAATACTCACTTACAATCCTTTTTTTTTTTTTTTTTTTTTAAGATTTTTATTTATTTGACAGAGAGAGAGAAGAGCAGGGGGAGAGGCAGAAAAAGACTCCCTGCCAAGCAGGGAGCCCGATGCGGGACTCAATCCCAGGACCCCGAGATCACTACCCGAGCCAAAGGCAGACGCTTAACCGACTGAGCCACCCAGGCGCCCCTCACTTACAATCCTTTTTATTTCTGGAATAATGTCCCCAGTTTCATTTCTGATTCTAGTAATTTGTGTCTTCTCTTTTTTCTTAGTCCAGCTAACTAAAAGGTTGTCAATTTTGTTGATCACTTCAAAGAAACAACTTTTGGTTTCATTGATTTTCTTTTTTTTTTTTTAAAGATTTTATTTATTTATTTGAGAGAGAGAGAATGAGAGACAGAGAGCATGAGAGGGAGGAGGGTCAGAGGGAGAAGCAGACTCCCTGCTGAGCAGGGAGCCCGATGCGGGACTCGATCCTGGGACTCCAGGATCATGACCTGAGCTGAAGGCAGTCGCCCAACCAACTGAGCCACCCAGGCGCCCGGTTTCATTGATTTTCTTTACTGTTTTTCTAATTTCTATTTTGTTTATCTCTGCTCTGACCTTTATTACTTTCTTCCTTCTGCTAGTTTTAGGTTTAGTTTGTTCTTTTTCTAGTTACTTAAGTTGTAAAGGTAGGTTATTGATTCGAGAACTTTCTTGTTTTTTAATGTAAGTGTTTATAGTTATACATTTCCCTCTTAATACTGCTTTTGCTGCATCCCATAAGTTTTGGTATGTTGTGTCTTCATTTTCATCTGTCTTTAAGTATTTTCTAATTTTCCTTGTGATTTCTTCTTTGATCCATTGATTGTTTAAAAGTGTGTTGTTTAATTTCCACAAATTTATGAGTTTTCCAGTTTTACTTTTGTTGTTGGTTTCTAACTTCATCCTGTTGTGATTGGAGAAGATACTGTATATGATATCTATCTTTGAAATCTCTTGAGACATAATTTATGGCCTAACACCTGGTATATCCTGGAAAATGTGCCATGTGCCCAGGAGAAGGATGTGTGTGCTGTTGCTGTCGGGTAGTGTTCTGTACACGTCTGTTGGATCTAGTTGGCTTATTGTGTTGTTTACGTCCTCTGTGTCCTCACTTACTTTTTGTCTAGTTGCTCTGTTCATTGTTTTGTTTGTTTTTTTAAGTAGGCTCTATGCCCAGTGTGGAGCCCAATGTGGGGCTCAAACTCATGACCCTGAGATCAAGACCTGAGCTGAGGTCAAGAGTTGGAACGCTCAACTGACTGAGCCACCCAGGTGCCCCTGGTTGTTCTGTTTATTGTTAAGAATGGGG